AGCAATGAAATGACCACACCATGCAGATTAGCATGCTTGTTTCTCAGGGATTTTTTCATTCTTTGAAAGGTATTCTTGAATTATGTGAGACTTACCTCTATTAAGAGTTGAGATCTGGATAGTCTAAAGTTTAGATAAATTTCCAAGATGCTGAAAGGCCTCAAGGGCAAGACTTTGGAGGAGCAGCTGAGGTCTCTTGGTTTGTTAAACTTAGAGGAGAAGACTGAGAGGTGACTTCATCACAGTCTACAGCTTCCTTGAGGTGGCCAGTGGAGAGGGAGATGCTGATGTCCTTTCTCTGGTGACCATGACATGAAAATGGTGTGAAGCTGCATCCCAGGAAGTTGAGACTGGACACTAGGAAAGGTTTCTTTGCCGAGTGGTCAGTCACAGAAATAGGCTGCCAGTGTAAGTGGTTGTGGCACCATGCTTGTCAAAGTTCAAGAAGCATTTGGATGATGCCTTTAGTCATGTGGTTTAGTTTTAGGTAGTTGTTTGAGGAGCTGCATGTTGGTCTTGATGATTCTTTTGGGTCTTTTTTAGCTTGAGAGATTCTGTGGTTGCATGTTTTTTTCTATGCATCTACCACCTAGGACAGTAAATAAATTTAATATAATAATTTAAAATAATTTTAAAATAATTTTTATAATGCTATGGTTTTTCTTACATTTTTAGAAACAGTTTATCTTCTGTCATTCTTGAGGTTATGAAGTCAAGATTTAACAGTATGAAAGGGTTGATTCTTAAAAGTTGAAATCTTGGTTTTGTAGGACATTTGGCTAGCTGTTCATCAGAACTTTCTAACCTCTCATTTTGTCTGCTGGCTAATGTATTCTGCTGCTTTGCTGTGCACACACTCACTCATAAAAATTAATAAAGAAGACTGGAAAGTTCACTGCTGCTCTGGTTCTTTCTGCATTTGTTGAGAATAATGATGTCTGTTCAGACAAATGTTAGATTAATCACAAGCTTGATGTGCAGCCTCACCGGCACTATAGAAAAGCACTTTAGACAATCGTAGTACAGTATTTTACAAAAACAGAGGAAAACTTAACAATTTAACATTTATTTCACTGGCAATCTGCAACTTTAGTTTGTTCTACAACAGACTGAGGCCGTTTATAAAGAGAGATTTATCAAAGTATTCTGCATGCATTTCTCATCAAAATTGTTGATGTAAAGAAACCTTAGGTACAGCCATGTTCACTGGCTTATGAAACTCCACAGATCTTATAAACTAGAACCTTCTTTTCTTACTGAAAGTTTAGATAGGCTCAAGGGGATGCTAATGAGGTACCTTGAAGATGAGTCTACTGAGGAATATTAAATACACAAAATCACATCTGTCTCAGGAAGTAACCTGAACTGAAAGTAGTTGGAGTGTGGATGGTGGTAGCAGGAGGGGGTGCTGTATGTGCTTATCTTGTTCTTATTCTTAATTATGTATCTTTTCACGGCTGCCTTTGCTGGAAGCAAAGTGTTGATGGGGATCCAGCCTTGGTCTGCTGTGAATAAAGGAAGATGTCTTACTTCAAGTGTTTTGCATTCTCTTGAAGATCAGTAATTTCATGTGACTAGGAAGAAAGAACAGGCCAAAAGACTTGAACTGCTGATGCTAAAATAACCGTCCCTGTTCTCAGAGATTCACTCACCAGGACAAAGTTGTTTGTAAGGCTTCATGTGAGTCTGTTGATAAGATGCATCTTTGTGGCTGGAAATGTTAACTCTAACAGAAGAGGCCTAACAGAATTTTGCTCTTATTTGCTTTAAAGGGATTTAGTCTTAAAATGTTAATTTGTGCTTCTTTTTTAGGGGTCCAGAATTCCTAGGGATTTCTTTTACTCTTCAGCCATAGGAGTTTTAGTAAGAAAAAATTAATGTTTTAGTAATGCCTTTGGATTTGATAGACAAAAGCATTCATGGTATCATTGTGATCACCAGCAACATTTCATTTCAATAGTTACAAGCAGCACTGATACCATGAAATAGATTTTAAATTGGTCAGGTCCACTCCAAAGTTGACCTGTTATCTACCAGATGATTTTCACTAGAAGCCTTAAAAACAGGTAACACATTTTCTTTCTTAGTGGCTTCTTTGTATTAATCTGGATTTATCTTGTCCTGTTTAAGATTCTTGGAAATGAGCAGTCTTGTGTCCTTCAGGTTGATAAAGAGGACCTTGTATCTTGCATTGTCAGGGCAGTAAACACTTAATTCCTTTAAAATGGAGAATAGATTTTGATTAATAATGGATTTTTTTCCTGTTGCTTTTAAGCTGCTGACTGAGTTTATTGATACTACTTGAAAGATTCTTAAGATTTAATTTAGCTATTCCAGATTTCCTTCCATTGCTATCCTGCAAAGTTTTGTCTACTTAACTCTTCCCTTGTGTGTAGTCACAGCTTGATCAAATTTGTTGTGTATTCTCATACTTATTTCATGATGTTGTGTGAATTAACTTAAAAGTGCCACCTTCTTGGGACATGTCCATTCCAAAGGGTATTGGCAAAGATCCTACTTAGTGTTAGATGGGGCAACGGGAGGAGTTGATTGTCTCTTGAAGTTCTTAAGTGGGAAGAGGACAGTTGTCAATCTGAGGGGAAGGGCTTTGTGTTGAAATCCTGGTTCTCTATCTCATGAGCTGCCGGTAGATATAAATACAACTGCTTATTTAAAAATTATGGCAGAATACCAGTGTTTTAATGCACTTGATCATGGGAAAAATGACATCAACTCTTCTAATCTGCATTCTAATTTTTCATTCTAAAAGTGTCATCTGCTTTTGCACTACAGTGATACAGTGATTGCTGATTGAAAAGTAACAGTTGCCTATTAAGCCAGCAGTGGTATTTTCTGTATCTTATGTTCATAGCAGCTAGACTAAACGTTCTTAACTTTTTGTGACAGCCAAGACTACAGTAGGAGGTTGGAAGACTTCAAGCTGCATCTTTTAAATTTGAGCCTATTGTGATTGCAGTTCTGACTGAGGAAACTGCCAGCCTTTCATTGAAGCATGCAAATAAATAGTGGGAAATAGGGAAAAAACTCTCTTATTCTGGACTTTTTTTTTCTGATTGTGATGTTTTCTGTTTTTACAAGCAGTAACAAGGTTACTTCAGGTAACCTTGGTTTTACAAGCGGTAGCAAGGCTTCATGGTAGACTGAAAAATAGGTCAAAACAACGTTCCCACTAAGGAGTTGTGCAAAAAGGCAGGGGCTTGCGATCAAATATATGATTCCAGTTGGCATGAAGTTTGGCATTTATTTTAGTCTCTAGAAAACTGAATATAAACTAGTTGTATTTCTGCTGAGTGTGTGTACGTGTACATATATATATATATATATATATATATAAATCCTATGTTTTTCTATGCAGTTGTGGTATGGACTATATTAGAAGTGTTGGAGTTCCTAATGCTGGACTGGGTAATTGAAATTTGGCATGCCAACTGAAATGCAAATTTTTGTCTTTTCACATGATGATTGAACTGCAGTTTCTGTATTTTTAACGTTTAAAAGGTTTTGAAAAGAGAGAAAAAGAAATGCTTCAGTTAAAGATGGATATACTAAAATTATTTTTAGGTAGTCATTAGGTTACTGTGATTTGCAACTGTTACACAAAACAGAAAAAGTTATGTCTAACTCCATTCTATTAAATGTGTATGAACAATCCATAAAAGTATTTAAACAGTGATATATAAAGGTCCATATGGACTTGTAAGTCTCCTTGTGTGGAACTCAGTGCGAGATGAGTTTTAAATTGTGAGCACTGTACCATCTTACTAGAACTTCTGCTCCAGCACTCAGTATAGCACTTAGGGAGAAAATATGTATGACAAAATTACAAGAAATATTTTCTACTTACATGTTCTTGTGGTATTTAAAACCTGCTTTTGGAAGAAATTCACTGCTGTTGTTGTCCTTTTTGAATAGTATGCATCACTAGCATTATGCTTGATTTCATAAAAATATATCTTTAAAAATAGAAATGGTGATTTTTTTTTTTTTTAAGAACGAAGGGTGAGCACCTTTATCCAACAAGATTAGCAGTTTTGTATAAAGGCTTGGGAGGGATTTATTCTCTGTGTATAATCCTTTAATGATATCCTGTGTTACAAATTCCTCAGAAAAAAATATAAACCGTTCCTTTGTTTCTGGCATTTCAAAAACAGCTCTTTCTCCAGAATCCTCATGAGCCAGAATCCGGGTTGATTTGTAGACTATTCTTTTCAAAAATGTAAACAGTATGTCAAATCAGTAGATTAATAAGTATAACAAAGACCAGGGGTTTCAGTCACATTTATGAGTTCACAAATTCTTTTTTCTTGGAATGCATGTGTGCAGCCAGGTTGAATAATTGTCCAGTGCTAGCAATTTAGATGATCTAGACTTTTCCAGAATGTCATGATTTGTATTTTCACCAACAAGTAATTTTTAGAATTGTTGCATATATGAGAACTGAGTGATTGATAGGATTGGTAGTCTGTCAAGTTTAGTCTCTGATGCAAATAATGATCCTAAGCAGAAAGGCAGCAGGCTCACTGCTGTCTGTGGTTAGGGCATTTACTTTAAATGCAAAGCTTAGGAGATTCTTCTGAAAGAAGAATGTATGTGTGTGTGTTCAATGCACTGTTTTCCAGAATGATTTATTTGGTAATATTCTCGTATATGTTATTATTATTATTGTAGAACAATAATTTGAAGTTCTTCCTACACAAACACTTTGCAATCATTTTGTCATCAAGAGTGTGAGTTTTAACAATTTTCTGTTAAGTGTAGATATGATATAATTATTCTTCTCTGTTTACAAGAAAAAAATCTCATATTAAAGGTAAGACATAGTTACTTGTGTGATGTGTTCTTGTGTTGCTCCAATATCTTACACAATGAAAGTGATTTTCAAGGACAACCACCAGCAATGTTTATTTTACTTTGTTCTTTTGACATGTAACTCCAGAACTATCAACTAATCTATTAATTTTTTTGTTTGTTTTCCCCAGACTGATCTTGATTATGTTAACAGTGTTGTTGCAAGCCTGGAAAGAGAGTAAGTTGTAGTTTTATTTGGGGATTTCTTAGTTATTGATGATAAACTAAGTCAGGTTGTAATAAGCAATTAAAAATATTTTGAAAATAAGAGATCATACCTTTTTGCTTTGTGGAGCTTTGGACTTCTGAATAAAAAAGTAAGAGATAACAAATTAAGAGGCAGTTATTTCAGTCAAATTGTAAAACAGTAAGTGGGATTAAATTATTTGATGCACCATAAATGGATGAGATTATTTAAACATGAATGGAAATTTGTGACATCTGTGTTAGGACCTTGTATTCTCTATGTTCAAAGAGAACTGCAGAAAAAAATGACTAGGTTCTGAGAAAACACCAAAAAATGTTTAGAATGCAGTTTGATTCTGATTGGCAAGAGGCAATAGTGCTCTGAAGGACATGCTAAGGAAAACAATAGTTTTTTCTCTACTACTGTTCTTTTACATGCCTCATTTGAGCAATTCCTCATAACCAGACACAATAACTGTTCCAACAGAAAGTGAGCAGGAACTGCAGGACTCAGAATCTCTCTGAATGGCTTCAGAATGTTTCTGTTGACAGGTTTTCTACAGAGATCAATTCTGGCTTGGTGGAAGTAATAGCCCCTCCTGCAACATATTATCCTGACTTGACAAACTTGAAAGAAACATTTGGAGACTCAAAGGAGAGAGTGAGGTAGGTTTATTCCCCCAGATCTTTTCCCATCTCCTCTCACACCCACACTTTTGTTGTTTATAAAACGGCAAGTGGGATGTGAATTCTTGAAATGTTTTCTTACTGTAATTCTTGCAAGTGTGGGGATGCTAAAAGTGCTCTGTGAATCCTCTCATTCCTAGCTCTCATTCCTAGCTACATGCTGTTCTGTGCATGATCAGAGCCTATGCTTGATTGAATCTATTTAGTGTTAAATTCTGGGAGGAGAACTGAGACTTTTGATATACTTTTATTCCTGTATGTGGACTCTTTAATTTGCTGCTTTTCATTGTGAAATACAGGGTAAAACCCAGTAGTTCTTGTTGAATTACTATTTTAAATGCACATGTGTTTTTAGTGAAAGCTCAGGTAGTTGTCACAAAGTCAGGTTCAAATTAAACCAATTTGATGTCTGTATTAAAGCATAATGTGAAAGCTTTGTTCCTTTTTTTTTCTTTTTGAGACAGTGGATTTCCTGAGGAAACAGTGCCAAAAGCAGCTGTCCTAACATTTCACTAATATGTGTCATTCTGCATAATGAACTTTACTTTATATTGCCAGTATGTATTGAAATAACCTTTTTTCATAAACCTTAAGCTTTCAATTTAATTTCAGATGGAGAACAAAACAAAACTTGGACTATTGTTTTCTTATGATGTATGCCCAGAAAAAGGGGGTTTATTACATTCAGGTAAATTTCTCTTCTTTATTTTGAGACAAGTTTTCAAATGAGTCTCCAGAAATTATGCTGTTGGACACATCAGAAGGACCAACACAGAACAGAGAACTTGATCCCATCATTTAAAGAGGGCATTAAGTATGGTAGTTATGGTATATGGGGAAGTAATTTGAGGAGGACACTCTCTGAAGTAGAAAGTAATTTATCCTATGTCACTTCTTTTAAGATGCCTAGGAAAAAAAATTAAGGAATCCAAGCAGCTTAAACACTGTTTTTCCCTTGTCCTCAAAATGAATTATTGTTGAGTTGCCTAGGAAAAAAAAAAAAAGCCAGTGTAGTTTTTAGTGGAAATGAAGCTAAAATCTATTTTTATTTTCTTTTAAAAGTGCAGTGTCACTTTAATATGACAGTTGTGTATAGACATGGGATTTTTTTTCTCTTTTTTAAGAGATTTCCAACAATAGAGTTAAGCAGTTCTTCAGTTTAGCTCAGAATTATTCCTATCATGTGTTTCTGCTTTGAAGTAGAAATCTTACCTACAGGTATTGCAGATTTAGTAACTGCACTAATGATCTTTATTTAGATTTTGTGCCTGTGTCCTTGGGGTGTAAAGTCCCACACATCTCATCTAGTTTTCACAAAGCTATGCTGACTCCTCTCTGAGAGCTGTTGGAGTCTCAGCTCTCCGGGAAGCTGCAGAGCCAATAACATGTGACAGTCTGGTTTGATACTGGAAGTGGCACAAATATTAGTGCCAGCACAAGGGGGAGGGCATGACTGTACTGTGAGAAAGGACAGGAGAAGCAGGGTCCCTAGTGCAGCAATGGCCTGCACTTACTGTGAATTAAAGGGATTGAAGCACCCCATGTTGGCAGTTCTGCAGCCTGGACTAGGTGGTTATGGACTAGGCCCCTGTGCTTCTGTTGGACAGGTGAAATGAATCCTACCTCTGCAGATATTGTGTCTCTTAGCCTCTTGTCTCAGAGGAGAAACTCATTCAGTGCTCTTACATTTGTGAGTAAACAGTCACATTTCTGTACAAATAATACAGATATTGAACTTGTTCTGATGATGCCACTTAGACTAACATTATTTCATGGATGATTTTCCTTTGAAGAAAGAAGCTGGAAAAGCAGTGTTCTAAAGTAAGAAGTCGAGATGTGTTTGTGGATTCTTACTAAAGAAGGATTCTGTATTAGTTCTCCACATATAGACAGACTGATCCCTAAAATAATTATTCCAGGCTATGGTGTCTGTTTTACATCTGTGCTAGCATTAGAAATACATGGCTATGTATTAGCAAATTAAGTCAGTATTTCCTAGCTGTACTTTTTTCTATTGCTTTGCTAGTGCTTTTTTTTAATGTTGATATCACTTCTACCTTCCTCTAGCTTGAAGATGACATTGTTGTCAAGCAGAATTATTTCAGCACAATAAAAAATTTTGCGCTTCAGCTCGCTTCTGAAGATTGGATGATTCTAGAATTTTCTCAGCTGGGTTTCATTGGTAAGAAAATGTTCACTTTTGCAGTTTGAAAGAACACATTCATACTCAGACTGAATTAATAGTGATCTGACTTCAAAGCTATCTTCTTTTGCTGGAAATAGACCAAAAAGTAGAAATTCATTGCCTTTTTTAGGAACTCTGGTTTAGCTCATAGTTGTTTCTTTTGCCCTTCATTTGTGTCATATACTTTTGTATGACAGAGGTAAACTCAAACTGTTGGAAAAGGGCATTTTTTAACCAAAAGTTAATTCATAAAAATACTAACAATCAAAATGCAAGATATGACTTATTTTTAATTTAGCTGCTGTTAAAATGAGAATGTAATTAAAACATAACTGACTGAAGTAAAGAAAAACTAGAAATGAAATTAGCTAATGAAAATTAGCTCCACCTAAAATAAATTCATTGGTGTTTGTGGCAAAACTTCCAAGAATTAGCAGGCATCAGTTTGTTGCAAAGTCTGTTCTATCTCCATCTTTCCACTTCATGAAGAAGTTATGATAACCTGCTATTTCCTAGATGCAGTCAGTCTGTCCTTTGCAATAAGCAACAGTGAGAGGAGTTAATGCAGGGTCTCTGGTTGTGGGTTGACTGCCTGGGTACTCTGGAAATTATGGTTCTTTGTTCTTGCAGTAATCTTTTCATGGAGAGATACTAGACTTAACAGAAAAGCAATGATAGAGAAGCTTTGAAGGGATTTTACAAATCAAAAGGTTATTTTGATTACTGCACTGATGTGTCATGGTCTTTTTAAAAGCAGCAAGCTGGACATATGCAAGGACAAATCAAAAGCTGAGGCAGACTTTGGAGATTCCTGTGGTCATCACAAACGATTCCAATATGAAGGCTGTAAGTTGAGTTCAGAACAGAAAGAAAACCCTATGGGTAACAGATAAAAGTGCAGCCCTGAGTTCTGTCATTGTCTAGGAAATTCTTGTTGTTCTCTTTCCTTTGGATCTACTAGCCAGGCTTCATTTTTAGCTCAGTGACCCATAATGGCTGAACTGAGAATGTTGGCATTACTTAAGTGCCATCCTGTTTCCAGCTCAGCATCAGGTGTGCAATAGTTCCCCAACTTTGGGGGTCTCAGAGGTTCCTGGAGTAGAAAGGAAAACTATAATTATCCCTCCTACATGCTATGTTAGGGTACAGAATGGTACTTTGTAGCCTTGCTTGCCAGTTTAACCTACAGAAACAATGGGGAGGAAGAAAGGAAATGGGCAGTCAAGTCTCCATACACACCTGGCCATCATCTAATTGCTTTGGGCTACCATCAGAGATACACTGTTGCTGAAATAACTATGGGTTTGATTCTGTGGCCTTAGAGGTGGGAGAAATAGGAAATTATGCTGCCTAGCATGGAGAAATAAGAATTTAAATAGTTTACTGACATCTTGCCCTAAATAAACTTCTCCTTGGTTGGTGAACTTGTTGCAACATTCTGTTATGTGTTAGTGGGGACTGGTTGAATACAGCATTTGACAAGATTTTGTTTCTACTGTAGAACAACAGTTAAACACTAACCCAAACTAAGCCCACAATTTGAGTTTGAATTAGCTCTAGCCTAATTGCACTTCAAGTGTAAATTCTGTATGAAGTTCCTAGGCTATAGAATTTACATTTATTCTACATTTGCCTGATTTAGTAGTAGAGTGTGCTCGCTTACAAATTGCCACTTTGTGAGAATGACACATCAAATGTGCATAAAACCAACTTACAGTTTAGGACGTGCACTGTCTGTGCCATGCAGTTGTATTTCAGGTTGCTTAACTTGTTTAGTATTTGTGTATTTCACCCCCTCCTTTCTGTTCTCTGTGCTGTAGTAGAGGGCACAGTGTTTAAGCCTGGTGGAGTAGGTAGATAGTTCTTAGTATTGAGACTTGGCTTTATCAAAAGCACAACTGTTTAGAAATGTCTTGTTTTTCTATACTGTCTGTATACTTCTGGGCAGTGTGGGCTCTGAAAGTAGCTGTAGCTAAATTTAATTTTTAGCTCCTGCTGCTTGCATCCCTGTTCTTTGTTCTATGTATCATATTTGTTTCCCTCCTTTTAACTAGATGATATCAGTAGAATTTCAGATGCATTTAGCTATGGCTACAGATCTTAACGTTGCTTTTCTACCGAGAAAATTAAATTAGATTTTTTTCTTCTTCCAGTATAGCTACTTACAGTGTTTTTAAGTTTTGAGAGAAAAATTAATATTCATAAGAGCAGCTAAAACTTTTAGCTCTGGTACACATTGGTGTGCTATAACCATATACTGCTTGGAAATTTTATGCAAGTAATGTAGATTTGCCTCATCTCTGCTATCCCCTTATGGATCTTGATGCAGACTGATGCTGTGGTAATTTGGTAATGCAGATATCTTTGGGAAGAGTAACAGCAGTTTGTAACTGGGGATCAGTTTTATGTGTAGATGTCCAAGAAAGAATGTAAAGCACTCAGTTCACAGAATCATAGAATGACCTGGCTTGGAAAGGACCTTAAAGATCATCCAACCCCCCTGCCAGGGGTAGGGTCATTTTCCACTAGACCAGGTTGCTCAGAGCTCCATCTAGCCTGGCTCTGAATATTTCCAGGGATGAACCGTCCACAGCTTCTCTGGGCAATTGTTGTCTAGATGCTACTGATTTAGAAATAATCTCTCAAAAAGAGAGGTGTGGCTGATTCACTGTTAGCTGTTGGAAACCTTGATTAACTTGCAAGTTTGTGAGGTAAAAATGTGGGATTTTTTTTGTCATAGTGTATTTCTGAACTGAAAATCTAATTTATGCAAGTGCTACATGAGGAAATGGCAAATGTAGCTATTTAGGCTGACAGCAGGATTATAGAATTCTGCCACCTCTGCCACGGAACAGACGTTGCTTCCTTTGGTTTTTTTTAATCCTGAAAGCATAGTCTTAAGTGCTGTCAAGTATCTAATAAATAATGGGTGAGATGTATGCTGTTTCCTTAAGAAGCTCTGTGGAAAGAGATGTATCTTTTACTCTTCTAGATTCTTGTTTGCACTGTGAGCCCTGTGACATAATGTAGGAAAGTCCTACTAGCTTTTTATGAGGAATAATGCTTTGTCTTCCAACTGCCTGTGAGCTGAAGTGTTTTCCAGAGGAACTGCAATCCTTGCACTGTAGCTATAATGCCAGCTGTCACCACAAACATTTATGGAGTGGTCTGAAATGCCCTTTTGGTTGCCCTTATACAGTTCCTCTGAGTCTTATTGTTCCCTGATGTTTTAAGGCCTGTTGTTCTGATTATTTTAAGTTGTTCTGATTGCAGTTTTGCTCAAGCTGTGCACATAGTTGAAGTTTGGGAAAGACTAGATCAAGTCAAACATTTGAGCTTTAAATAACTTCAAAGAGATTCTGGTTTTAATGCCAGCAATTTGCATATCATTAACAGGGAAAGCATTGAAAACATCAGCCATAGCTAGAATATGTGCTTGCAGGTGTAAAATTATTGTTGGTCTAGACTCAGTATTAGTGACGCTCATGTGAAAGAATTAAAATGAATGATTTAAATATATGCACTTCAGAGAACTAGAAAACAAAGTGTTTCATTTTTTGTGTGCCTTGTATTTGCCAGAAAAACACTGAGAGGGCCAGAATAATTCACTAAGGATGGCCTTTAAAAGGACTGAAAAATGAATAGAAGTCTTGTCAGGGCGCAGTAAATCAGAAAGTGTTCCACAGGTTTTTTTTCAGTCCTGATGGTCATTTTTATCAATACAGATAAATAACTGGGAGAAAGTCTACATTTTGTATCTCTTGGGTTTTATGAAGCAAGATTTTACCTTTGTCTCTTAATTCTTTCAGATTTTGAAGTATCTTCACAGTGGCAGGTTGTATGCGCCCAGAATCCAAAAGGTCTGAAGTTTTGTCAGCAGAGTGTCCTGGATTTATGTCTCCCATGTACTGCACCAAGTGCATGAACATGGTGCAAGATGAGCCATTGCTTCAATTCTTTCACAGAGTTTGCAGTTTGAAGCGTGTTCACTGCAGTGCTTTGCTTAGGTCTCTTTGGCTTGATGATTTGTGACTGCATATTGGGGGTGGCCAGTGGGCAATCCGTAGGTTGGATTTGGATGGTATCTCAGTGATTCTGTGGCTCACAATACTTTCCTCATGCTGCTGCATGGGAGCTGCAGGACAGAAGGACCTCGGCAAATGCTGCTGCTGCTTGATCTTGGCCTGTGGCTGTGCCCTAGGGAAGCCAGGCGGCTGCTGCTGCTGCTGCTCTTGTTTAGGAAGGACTAGGCAAGGGCTTGGTTGGTTTGGATTCGGAGGGGCTGGGTATTGGATCTGTGCAGTAGGAGTTGTACTGGGCTGGCTTCTGTTACAAGGTCTAAGTGTGGCCAGTCAGGGATACAAAGCTTTGAAGACCTGTTTTGCCAGAGACTTCACTACAGAGCTCTGGTTTTGAGCTGCTGTAGGAAGCCTGTTCTGATGGAAAAAAATGGGACATGGATCCATGGTGGAACTGCTATGCTGGTGGTGTCCTGAGACAGAAATGACAGATGAGTGAGGCAATGTTATAGAGAGGCATGAGGGGCTGGGGCCAAACCGTGTGCTGCGTAAACTGTGCATGGAAGGTGGTGACAGAACTTCAGAACATACGTGGTATGTGGATATCTGTCCTTGGTTACTGAAGGAAGACAAGGGCTTGTCTTGGGATCAGGGTGTTTCCTGTTTATCTTTGCTCCAGTGTTCATTAGGAATGAACATGAGAAGACTTTGTCTCCACTGTTGAACCCTTCCATGGTGCTGTGCAGTGTAATGCAGAGGCCACTTGGGTCTAAAGATGCAATGGAGGTACAGTTGGCTTACCTCACTTATTCTGACTAGCTGCAGTTGGATGTATCAGGATGGCTTGGTTGGTTGGTTGGGATTTGTTTGTTTGTTTTTCCCTGGTGTGCCCTGTGACATCACCATGGCAGTTAGATCATTCCCCAAGTCTGGGGTGGTTGACTACATGGTGGACATAGGTGCTGGCCTAGAGGAAACTGCCTCTGGGCCTAGATAAGTTTGCCATATGGGAGTAAATAACTCATTGATATCCTGTTCCTGTTTTATATAAAATTAGGAAAACTTAGATAAGAGTAAATTCCTATTCTTACCTTCAGTCTTGTTCTCAGTTTACTTAATTGTAGGATCCTGTGCCTTCATGCCAAATTCTAAGTAACATGGTCTGTGAGTGAGAATAAGTAAAGACATTATGTTCTTCAGAAGATGAGCTAGTCAAGGGAAAAAATGTCAATGTGATTCTTTTGTCCTTGGGTAGAAGAAGAAAAGGGTTCGAGAGCATCGTGGCTGTGTATAGATACTGGAAGAGGATAAACTCTCTCTTCAGTCTACTTGCATTGAGATTAGGGCAATATTGTGGGGATATTTCAGTCTTCTCACTCTGATTGTATTGTGCATCTCTCTGGCACCATGTGGAAAGGTGCACTTCCTATGGAAACAGATGTGACTGACAGACTGTGAGCAAGTGTCACCTAGAAATGATGGTTCCAGTCCCATAAAAATCCCAGAAACATCGGATTGGTCCCATTTTTTAGCTGGTGTTTTATTAGAGCTTACTGTATTTTTCTGTTCTCCTGCCCTATGCCATGGAAAGCAGTAGGCAGAGATGTATCACCAGGAAAATTGGGGTCTGTTTAGTTGGAAGTGACAAGCTGAAAGCTGTTACTCTGCATGACTATTTTATACAACATTTAACTAATCATGTGATTGTTTCCTGCCCATTTTTAAATATTTGCTTCCACAAATAATGTTAAACAATGTGACAATATGGTGTGTAAATACTAACAATGTACTAATAAAGATAATAAAATCTTTCTTAAGTCTTTTAAGAATTAAACTTTGCAATTTTCTGTACCTTAGTAGGAATTGTTCCTTGTGTAGTGGGAGTTTCAGATTTTAGATACCGAGTATTTTCATGTGGAGATACCTATTTGAGGACCTCATTGCAACAGCCACTTAAAGGTGATGACAATATTTTTGCTTTGTAAAGGGCTGGATGCAAAGTTTTTGTGAGAGACAACTTTGATGTAGCAATGTCAAATCAGTTAATGTTTTAGCACATTTACTTTTCCACCCCAATGTGTAAATTGTCTACTGTAATGAGTATACCATCATTCTAACAGGTGAAATAATTGGTACTTTAGTCAGATGCTTTTTCCATATTAGTTGCATGGCATAATGATGTAGTCTAACTCAGACACCTCCAACCTCCTCTGAGTTTCCATTGAGTATTCTTTTACTGGCTTTGTTCTTATCCAATTTCACACAAGTTATAAAGAAAAGAGATTGCATCAGACCTGCTTTCTGAAAAGGGCAAGGCTCTTCCAGTGATCTCCTCTTAACATCTACTCCAGCTGGTTTTCCTAAGAGTAGTAGAAAATATTCGAACTTCTACCACTGGTGGAACTTGTTACTTTGAAAGCTTACGGCAGCCTCTCGGCAAGCGGAAAAAAGCCCTCAAAACATCTCCTATGCCTGAGTGTTGTGTGTTAGTGTGTTGTATGGAACTCCAAAATGTGAAGAGACAGAAGACTTGCATTGGAAAAGAGCTTCTGTTGGACTCTGATCCATTGATGCACATACCCCAAGAGCCCAACCCTGGTTAGTCCAGCACTGCCCACCCCACATCTCAGCAATATCTGCAGAACTGAATCACTGAATCACTTCAGCTGGTCTTCCTGAGTGATTCATTGTTTCGTGATGTCTTTCTTCCTTGCCTTCTCCATTGTAACCTAGCAAAGACTTCAGACTTCATCTGCAAACCTAGTGATGTTTTCTGAATCTGCCTTGAAATCTGGAACTGCCTTTGAGATTTTTAGCAGGCATGTGGTCATGGAATCATTTTGGTTGGAAAAGACCTCAAAGATCATCAAGTCAAACCATTAACTCAGTGCTGCCAAATCTACCACTAAACCATGTCCCCAAGTGCCACATCTACATGTCTTTTAAATACCTCCAGGGATGGTGCCTTAAGCATTCCCCTCAGCAGCCAGTTCCAGTGCTTCAGTGCAGTCCCTGGTACAAGCAGTTGCCAGTCTATCTTCAGCCTTGGACTGCCCTGCTCCCAGTTGTGTTGCTTCTGGTAGTAGTGTTTTCATGCAAGGCACCTTTTTGAAGTGCAGCATTCAGATTGACACAACAGCCTGTGTACTGGCCACCTTTCCCTTCAGACACCTTTACTGCCAGACAAGGGTATTCCACAACCATGTAGGTGATTACTCATGTTGATAATAAATAGAATATAATAAATATTCTTCATCAATAGTATTTCCTTCTTTTGCAAAGGCCTCCTTTAAGCCTCACAGTCTGCAGGATTCCCAAGAATCCTTTTGCACAGTGCCACCCAGAAGTCCTGCTGATGGCCTATGCCCTGCAGAAAATAACTCTGGTCACTGTGAGATGTCTCTTTTTGAGTTGCATTGTCTCTGGATATGTTCTGGTAGCTGCCTTCTTTCCCTCTGATTTCCTGCCCAGAAGGTTCTGAAGTTAGTGGTAGGTGTTGCATCTCTGCTTTTTGTACCTGCAGAAGCTGCGATTGTGTGACTGGGCAGGTAACAGGTCTTTAACTGTCTCAGGTGCTTTAACTTTCACATGACAAGGGGAGTAATAAATGCCAATCCATAATCCTCTTCTTTCTCATAATTTTTCAAACTGACAATTTCTCTTCTTAAGAAGACTGTATTGTGGTACATAGAACATACACTGAATGTTTTTATAGCACCAAGATATATGACAAGTTCTTGTTTGAATAGTTGTTTTATTTAGTTGAAAGGTACTGACCTTTAATAACATTGAAATTTCAAGTTGTTCGGTGCTAACATTTCTTGTCTTGGCACAAATGTTATCATCTGCTATCTCACTGATTTGAAAAGACAATGTTATCTTTAATCTAAAGTAACTCCAGTTATTCTTAATGTCACCCACAGGTAAAATGTTCCAATCTCCAGATATCACTCTTATTGTAGAGTTCATATTTATGTTTTATAAGGAGAAACCTATTGATTGGCTCCTGGACCATATCCTCTGGGTGAAAGTGTGTAACCCTGAGAAAGATGCTGTAAGTTTGTTTTTATTATAAAGCTTCTAAAATGTTTTCATGATGATGAATGAGTTGATTTTTGTGAGCTGAAATCCAGCATAGTGTACATAATGGTTACTGCATGTTCTGGAAGAGTCTTCCTGCCAAGATTTTTATCTCAAAAAAAAACTTTAGAGGGACAGTTCTCAGGGGCATTATAGCTGTTATTGCTTCAGATTTTGGAGATGGGTGCATTAAGGATAAAATGCAGAAGTCTAGTTAGATTCTATGTGTAACAGACCTCAAATAAACTTGTACATGTAACCAGTCATGAGGTTCTGCAGAATGTCGCTGCTTGGGTAGCTGTCTTGGAGAAAGTTCCAAATGGGGAATAAACTTCTTGTTTTGGTCCTTCATTTCTCAAGAAATGCCCTTGTTGAATAAACAGGTTCTGTGCAAGGACCTTGAACAGTATTACGTTTGCACAGCAGTCTTGGTGGACTTCTGGAATGAGAACAAGAAAAACTGGATAAATAGGCCTAGGTTCTTACCTTGTGTTGGTTTTTACTAATGTGTTGTTCTGTTTTTTATCCCACCCTTACCTTTTCTCCCCACCATTTCAGAAACATTGTGATCGACAGAAATCTAACCTACGGATACGCTTCAGGCCTTCTCTTTTCCAGCATGTTGGCCTCCACTCTTCTCTAGCAGGGAAGATCCAGAAACTCACAGTTAGTAGACAATATTTCCCTTCCATTACAGAGCAGGCTGATTAAATGAAAAACATTATGGCAATGGAGAAAACAGGCCTTTTCTTGCCTTGCATTTTCAACCATGGTGTGTATTGCTCCAGCTGGAATTAAATCTGATATAGACTGGTTACTATAAAGTAGAAATGCTACTCCAGTTTATTTATGTGGATTTTTGCTAGGAGATATTTTTTCTAATTTTTTTATAAGATCTGTTGTACTCAAAATGAGTAATGCATTCATTTTCCATTTTATGCCAATGTTTAAGTGTAACCACTTGCGAAAGGAACATAATAAACAAGGTTGTCTGACCAGCATGATGTTTGTCTGTCTTTCAATTAGGATAAAGACTTCCTGAAACCATTACTGCATAAAATCCACGTGAATCCACCTGCAGAGGTTTCGACATCTTTAAAAGTCTACCAGGGGCATACGCTAGAAAAAACCTACGTAGGGGAAGATTTTTTCTGGGCTGTCACACCAGTTGCTGGAGATTATATTCTCTTTAAATTTGACAAGCCAGTCAATGTAGAAAGGTTAGTAATTACTTGCTGTTGATCTCATCTGAAGTTGCTTGTGCCAAGACTGCTTTAAGGTAGAATTTGGGGCTGTTATAACCTAAAGCAAAATGGTGTAGGACATTTGGAGTTCAGCTGAAATGGTGATCATTAACCAATTCCCTCTAATTCTTTTACTATGGTAAGTTTTGTCTTGCTGTAAACTTATTTTTTTCATTTAATCTGGAGCATTTTTGAAAAATGCAATGCAAAACCAGTGCTTCTCTGATGCAGAGAATTTAAAATAAGCCAGTTGGTCCTATTTGTATTTGGTTAGTCTGTTTCTAATTACAGAGCAATAGTACATACAGCATGGTATGTGGTACAGTGTGTTGTGCCCTGTGGCCTTGTTCCCTTAGTTGTCCTGATCAGAAATCTTGCTGAAGTATATAAGGATGTCCCTAGACCTGAAAGCTGGGGACTCTGAAGGGTAATTTCAAGATGTAGCTTTAGGGCTTGAAAAAAGTCACTGTGCTGAGATTCCAGGTTGACCTATTTAGAAAATATTAAAACACAACAAAAAAGAAAGGGAATGTGTGCTTTCAAAATACAAATATCTGAGATTTGTTGGAGTACTAAAGGTGACTTCTTTTCAACTACTGGTCAGATTAATTAAGGGTAATCAAGTTAGCACTTGATTACTAGTCATCCTTTAGTTTTATTGAGACTCATTTGCTGCTTTGCTAGCTACTGTCTTGCCAACATATTAATTCAAGATTTATAAAATACATGGTTTATTTAATGTCTAGATAAGTATTGCTATGTTAGTGGATTCCTTTTCTCCTTACTTCACACACTTTTTGTGGGGTTTTTTTAGGCCAATACTTGTAGCCTGGTAGAACAAAGTTTCTTTGAATCAATTTGACTGGCTGTTTTTCTTGTGAAGGAGACCTTTTTGCTGTCTTGAACTGAATCCAATTAGTCAACTTATGTACCTTGGTACATAATCAAAGGCTAAGTTTTCACCTTGGCTTAGCACAGCAGTGAAGATCAGTAGTTCCCTTGTGACTATGTTGTTCCAAACTAGTTTGACCTATGAAACTCAAGGTTGTTGTTTGAGATGTCATATTACTCTCTCAGTTGATTGCTATGCTTTAAAAGACTTAGCTTTCCAAGGTGCATGTGTGGAGGAACATAACTGCCATACCTCCTTGGATTAAAGAAAAATACTTTTCCTGTGCCAACACTTGAAAAAGCACATTTTTTTGTTCCTGTTACCTTAATGCTGAAGGGAACTAGGAGAGTGAGAAAGTACTAATTATCTGTGTAAAAGGTGGGAAAATAATGTTCATTGTTGTGCCCTGGAAAATTGTAGCCAGGCCTAAGGTAGTTATGTTCACCTGCTGTGTTAAGAATAGTCTTAGCTGTAGAGGATTATATGTTTTGCGTTTTTGGGGGAAGAAGTGGGGTTTTTCAGGGTCTTGTTTGGTTTGGGGTTTCTTTTGTTTGTGGGGCTTTTTTTTTGGGGTTTTGTTGGGAGGTTTTTGTTTGGTTTTCTTCATTCTAGGGGGTGTTTGTGGTTGTGTGTTTTTTGTGGAGGTTTTCTGGTTTAGTGGGATTTTTTTGTTTGGTTTGTTTGGGTTTTTTTCTGTTGGTTGGTTTGGTTTTTTTGTTTGGTTGTTTGATTTGGGGCTTGTTGGTTTTGGTTTTTCTTTGTTTGTTTTGTTATTTATTGAAGAAACGCATTTTAGTTTTAGAAGAAAGGAAATGTGTTGCATTCTGTTGCTTCCTCAAAGGAAGTCCACAAGTTTGAATGATGCTACCTATTCAGCTATTGTTGTAAGCCATATCAAAGTTTATTATGACTTTTACCTTCTATTGCCACAGTGTCCTCCAAAATACAGTATTTTACCTTCCTGAAGTCAGTGAATTGGATCTACAGATGTAACTTCAAGTTATTGGGGACTTGTTTTTGTTTGTCTGTGTAACTTGACCAGCAGCTGCAGAATTTGGCAAGTGCAGGTCTAGTCGAGCAGTGAAATTTCCTGATATTTCAAGGATGCTTAGTGAGGCAGTCAAAAATAAAACTGTGACTGGCAGATTTAAATATAGAAAAGAGGAAATGGACCAACCATTAGGAAGACTTACCTGGTGGAGAAATGCTTCTGATGGGAATTAAAAGTAGAAAACACACTTTTGATAGCAATCTTGTGTTTGTGAAAAGATGCAACAGGCTTTTTCTTTTTTCTTTTTCTCTTTTAAGTATTAGAAGAGCTCTTTGAATTTAAAGGAAATTTTTTCTGCCAAGTCAGCTTGAGGTAACTGCTTAGTAACTCCCATAATAAATTCGTGGTGAAGAAGTTTTTTAATGGAAATACTGACCACAGCTCTGACTGAATAAATGGCACATCTATTACACTGTGACAGAGCACTGACTTGTTCCTGTAGTTTATTTTTCCACACCAAATGTTTTACTGAACTGAATTTGTATTTTCTGCAGTTCAGTAATTATCTTTTATTAAATCTTTAAATATTTAATTTTTAAGATCTGAGAATATTGTCAGGGATAACACTGTCAAGGATCTCTTAACTTAAAGTGAGAACTGAGCTCACTTCACTGAGCAGAAAGTAACATTTGTCCCTATTTTATGCAAGATCTGTCTGTCAGATTCCTGCTGAATATTAAACAGTCAGATGGTGCTTGTTCTAAACCACACCTGGAGAACAGAGATGTGTAAACTGAAACATTCTAATGCTTACTTTAGTGACAGCTCTTGTACTGAAGCTTTCTAGGTTCTTTCCAAGCAAAAGTTCTCCAGCCAAAACACTAAAGTCCCTTAATAGTAATCTAGGGTGTCATCCTTTGCAATAAGAAAATATATACATTTCTTTCAGTAGAAAATCTTTGAAAATTAAGGTAGATTGAAGGATGTTCCTCATTAAAACAAGTTGCATAACAGTGTTGGAGGTATGTTTGGATTTGGTTGGTTGGTTTTTGTTTTAAATAAAGGGATGGACTGGTCTCTAGGTGCTCAAAACAGCTTACATTGTAAAGATAAAAAATACTGAATTTTTGTTCCCTCAGGTTTTTACGTAATTACTGAAATCCACTTCACTGTTTTGGTATGTACATTGCTGTTCCAACCACACATTTAATTATTAAAATAGACAGTTATATTTAAGAGTTTCTTTATGAACCAGTCAAAACACATCTGAGAAAGACATTCCATTGCAGCATTAAAGTGATGTTGGTGTTCATCATCATCACAAGTGTTTCTTTTTTAACTAAGTTCCAGAGTCCCCCCTATAGGTGTGATGGATACAAATCAGGTGTTGTTTTCAAAGAACACATGCACTAATTACTTTGAGAAAGCCCTTGGAAATGCATAACCTATGGCTGTTCTGCAACAGGAATTTAGAATGGATATTTTGGAAAGGGCTTCAGGTTTGCTTCAGGATAAATGGATTTCAAATGCTGACCCTTACTTTAGAAGAAAAAAGCTGCAGGAAAAGACATGTATGTGTTTTATATTGTGGAAAAAAAGGAAACACCAGAAACCAAAACTCACCTCAACATCATTAGTATACATATAAAAATTTGCTTTATATTTTTAAAATATGAGTCTCATTATTTCATGTATGTAACTGCTTCACAGAATCATCAAGGTTGGAAGAGACCTTCAAGGTCAAGTCTAACCATCAACTCAGCACCCCTATCCTTAAGTGCCACATATAGTTGCCTCTTGGAAACTTGTAAAGATGGTGGCTCCATCACCTCCCTGGACATTATTCCAATGCCTGACTGCTCTTTCAGTGAAGAAAATATTCCTAGTATCTAATCTGAATCTCTCCTGATGCTACTTAAGGCCATTTCCTCTTGTCTTTTCCACTGAGACATGGTAGAAGAGACTGAGCCTTACCTGGCTCCAACCTCCTTTCAGGCATTTTGGAGAGAATTTGAGCCTCCTCTTCTCCAGGCTAACCACCCCCAGCTCCCTCAGCTGTTCCTCATAGAACTTGTGCTCCAGACTCTCCTGCAATACTGCTTCATAGTATTACTTTGAATATTTTCAGAAGGATTAGCGGTTTACTTTTTTTAGGAGAGGGGCAATGTGTTTTTACTTGTAGTGTTGGTTTTTTTCCTTCCCATTTCCCTCCCACCACTGCTTTGAACTCTACAGTTGCCCTGTAGCTGGTTGGCCTCTCCTTTTAGCAAGTTACTGAGTAGTCCTCCTAATGCGACATTGACTATTAATAAAGTGATTTTATAAGGTACAACTTGCTGACTGGAATTTCAGTTTTAAAGTGGAATCTGACAAACCACCTTGTAGATTACATTTTCTAGCTTGTGCTCTGCTAGAAATATTGGCATAGGTACTAGATGTGCAGCATTTGAGATGATTCATCTAATTTTCTGTATTCTGGACATTGGAATCGCAGGGAACACATTATATTAACCTCACTTATATTTCCTGTGGCATCTTCTCAAAACACAGAATTAATAGTCATGCAAGAGAATATATATTTGACTATTCAAGCTAGAAAATCAAAGTATTGGGTGTGAATAGTATCTTGCTGGACTCTTGGTAACTAAACATATACATTATTTTGTCTGCTTTGAAATTATTGTGACAGTGCTGAAAAATACCTGCATAAAAAGTGACAGATGGATGTGTAGTATTTTGTAAAGGAAAATAAAGGCAGCTTTTAAAACAGGTTCTCTAGCAGTGAAAAATAAAATAAACTTTTTTTTTAAGTACAAAAAAGTATCATAGCAGTCAGTCTTGTATGTATCCAAATATAATTAATTATCCATCCTATGGGATGCAAGTCCTCCTGTGGCTAGAGAGATACAAGATCAAATGCATTACAACAGAAAAAAAACTTCCTAACAGCTTTCAAAAACTGGAAATGGAACTTCCTCACCATTTGCTTTTGCAGTAGTAACCACTCAAAACCTAGGGACCTGCAAAATTGTTTTGGTTTTAGATGAGTACAGAGTGACTTGCCTGGTATATAAGTTGTTCCTAGTTCATAAT